CTTGCCTTGAAGCAATGCTCATTTTCCTACAAACATAGATTAATTTTTGATTTTTGGTACCCAATTTCTTTTGGGTCCATATTCATTAGCCCCTAAAAGCCTTATCCCCTTAGGTATCCATTTGTTTAGGATATCCTTATCTTTAGTAGTATTGAGTCCTTTAGGAACCCATATACTCTAAAAGATTTTACCATTTGAGGTTCTTTGGGGACCTCTATGATTGTAAGATTTAAAATTCTTTCTAATATAGTTGGATTTTGAATTTTCTCCCTTTTCAAAACATTTTGTTCCAACTTTATTGAAAGAAGATTTAAGATCATCAATTTCTTTTTGATGATCATCATAAACTTTAGAAAGTAAGTTTTGCAAATCAGAATTTTTCTTTTCAAAATCATCGATTTTGACTTGCAAATTTTTAATCTTACTTTCAATTTCAATGTTGGTCTTGGATATGAGATCTTTTTCGTTTTTCAATTTTTAAAATAATTTCTCATAATCCGAGGCCAACCCATTATATTCCTCTAATAACTCATCAAATTAATAATATTCTAAATTAGATGAGTAAGAGGTTACCTGAGAATCCTCCCTGAAGGCCATCAAGCACATGTTTACTACTTCTTGTTCCTCTTCATCGGATGAAACGTCATCGCTCCAAGTAGCCACGTGTGCTTTATGCTTTTTCTTTGAAAGACCATTCTTCTTCAATTGTGGACAATCGTATTTAATATTCCCAGGTTTTTTGCATTCATAGCAAATGATTGTGTCCTTCTCCTTTGACTCATTTTTGAAGCCTTCATTTCGTTAGAATTTTCTTTCTCTATTTGGCTTCATTAATTTTTTGAGTCTTCTAGAAAGTAAGGTCATTTCCTCATCTTCGTTATTGTCAGTCACTCTCATCTTTGGTGGATTTGAGAGAAACACCAACATTCTTCTTTTTCTCCATCTCCTTCTTTGTGTCGTCCTTCTTCTCGAGGTCTACCTCTTCTTGAATCATCATTTCATGAGTGAGGAGAGAACTAATGAGCTTATCGAGAGTTAAAGAATTTAGGTCTTTAGCTTCGATAATCGCAGTCTTCTTTGATTGCCAAGCTTTTTGAAGAGAATAAATTATCTTCCTTACAAGTTTTTTGTTGGGGATTATTTCCCCAAATACTTTGACGCCATTGACAATCACTGAGAATCTATCCATCATAGCTTTGATATCTTCATTTGGTTTTATCTTGAAATTTTCATAGCTATGAGTAAAAAGACTAATTTTGGATTCTTTTACCTCGTTAGTTCCTTCATGTGTGACTTGTAGTTTGTCCCATATCTCCTTGGCGGTTGTACAAGATGATACTCTCCTGTATTCATCTGGTCCAAGTGCACAGAAAATAATATGGATAGCTTTTGAGTTGAGCTGGAATAATCTCGTCTCTTCTTCACTCCATATATTCAGATTTGTGGATAGTTCAGAGTATCCGTTCATCATGATTTTCCATGATCCCATGTCACTAGCTTGAATGAAGAACTTCATCCTATTCTTCCAATAGGCATAGTTACCTCCATTAAAGAAATGAGACTTGTTGATGGGCTGAGAATAAAGAATGAAGTCGAAGTTTTATGTAGAGGCCATTGATGACTTGAATATCGATTGAAATCTTCCCGAATCTACTCTAGAGGTGGTAAAACCTTCAAATGAGTGTAGCTTTGATACCAATTGTTGAGTTAATTGATCGGATGAATTGGCTGAGAGGGGGTGAATTGGCAATTAAAACGTTGGTGGAAGCTTTGACAGAAAATTGAAAATATTTGCACAGTGATTTAGAGTGATTCAACTTTCTCAACCAAAATCTACATCCACTACCTTAGCATCCACACTAAGGATTTTCCACAAATTCACTAATTTGTCTTTCTTTTGAGGATAAAGAGTAACCTTACAACTCCCTCAAGTATTATACCCCAAATTCTTGAGAACATTGTCTCTCAATAAGAAACTTACAAATTTTGCAAACTTACAGAAAAACCTCACAAGGTAGAATGTTTGCACAATTCTAGAACAAAGAAAGAACACTCAAGAATGAATACAATGGAGCACAAATGGTGTTCTTGAAAGCAAAATGAATATTGAAAGGATTTTGGCTTGTATTGCTCAAACAATAAGTTTGATGCTTTCTCTCTTTGAATTCTTTCTCAAAACTTGTTTCTTGTTATTCATTAATGGCTTCAAAAATTATTTAAATACACCTCAAATTAATTCTGAACGTTGGGAGCCTTAGTGAAGTCAATAGAGCTATTGTGGTGTGAAATCCACTTCAAAAAGCTGTTGGGAGCTATCGGTACACCTTCATAGGGGTATTGATACCACCTGCATAAAATTCAAATATTTCGATCGTTGTAAAACTGAGGGTATCGATACCTCTCAGGGGTATCGATACTCCTATGTAAATAGTTATCGATACCTGTCATGGTATCGGTACCCATTTTGCATTCCGTTATTTCTCGGAGTCAAAATCAAATGAAGGGTATCGGTACCTTCTGGCTAGGTATCGGTACCTCTTTTTCATTCGATGTTTGAGGGGTATCGATACCCGTTAAGGAGGTATCAGTACTTCCCTACTTAAACCTCATTTTTGACTCGATTATGGTTTGAAATACTTTGTAAAAATTGTTCCAAAAATATTTTAAGTATAAATCACAAATTTTCATTTAGTAAGGAGTAAAAATTGATCTTTGAAAACTTGGAGTAATATTTTTGATATTTGAATAATTGAATCGAATAATTTTGAATTGAATATAAAATCTTAAAATTATTAACACTTTTGTTATATAAAAATATCAAAAATTTTTCTCAACAGAATTGGTTGGTTCTGCAGATACAAGGTACTCATTTGATCCTCATAATACGTGATCACAAACTGGTTATGTGTTTACACATTGCGACACTGCAATTTCTTGACACTCTATAAAACAAACAATTACTGTCACTTTCTCTAGTCATGCTGAGATTTTGGCTATCCATGTGGCTAGTCGTGAATGTGTGTAGCTAAAGTCTGTAATTAATCATATTCGAGAAGATTATGATTTATGCTTAAAAGAATAACTATGACAGTTTTATATGACGATAATACAACTTGTATTACCTAACTCAAAGAAAGATACATAAAGGGTGATACAATAAAACACATCTCACCAAATTTCTTTTTCACTCATGCTTTGCAAAAGAATGAGAACATTAATGTCCAACAGATTCGTTCAAGTGAAACTTTGGCAGATCTATTCACTAAGGCGCTTCCTATTAGTAAATTTAAAAAGTTAATTTTCAACATTAGATTACGTCGTTTGAGAGATCTTTCATTATGTGTTCACGAGGGAGAGTAAATATGCATTGTATTTTTCCCATTATCCATGGTTTTGTCCCACTGGATTTTCTTGGAAAGATTTTTAATGAGGCAACATATCATGCATATTAGATGATGGTGTACTCTTTTTTCCTCCACTAGGTTTTGTCCTTAGAATTTTCCTAGTAAAGTTTTAATGAGGCACATATTTTATTAATAAACATCCAAGGGGAAATGTTATAAATGAATTCATTTAAGTGGATGTTTCATCTTCTTTACTTAAAGTATGATAACTAAAGAATTAATTGTTGTAACATATGGTTCTAATAACCTATGATTTTAAAGCATATAAAAGGATGTATGTACATGCTCTTAAGATACGAGTAATAAAATATTATTATTCACTCTTATATTGTGTTTTACATTTATATAGTTTCATAACAATTATTATATTATTTTACTAAATTTTAAGAACAATGTGTTTTAACTAAATAACAAAATAAATAGAAGAAAGGCATTTCAAAACATTTAAACTAATTTTCTTTTGGATAAAATAGATTAATAATCCATAAACAACTATTATTTATTTTTTAGATGATAAACTTTCAATTATAAATATTGTAGTCACTCCATCTTTACCTGCCATTAAGGGATGATATGACTTACTTTTCTAAAAAAAAATTATAAAATTCTTTGAACTTTTAAAATGTATAAAATACCCACAAAAATCTAAATGAAAATAACAACAATTGTCATAATACAAGTAAAAAATTCAAGTGATATTTATAAAGCCAAATGATATCTAAAAACTATGATTAATTATAGTATAATTCAAGGAAAATGTTTAATTCCAAGTTAGATCAGTGCTTCAAACTCTTTACATAAGATTACATTAAATATATTTATTGAATTATAATATAATGAATCGCAAATTAATTAATTATTTGTTTTGAAATATTGTACTTTTATAAATATCACTTGGTTTTTCACCTCTATATTTTTGATTATATTGTGAGAATTGATGTAATACATTTTAAAATTTTAAAGAATTCTATAATATTTAATTTTTTTACATGATTTTACTTTTAAGAAATATTTTTTTGTTTTAAAAAATAAATTATGAATTTTTATATTCATATTCATTTTAAAAATTTCTAAGAGTTTAGATAATTTAGATTTCTTTTGAATTTATTACTTATAAATATTTAAAAAATACTAAAATAAAGTTTTAATAACAATTGAGGGTCCAAATAAGATATTAACCATTAAATTAACATGTCATGCCAACCATGAGTGGTAGATAACCATGAGTGACCGTTTTGTAATATATCAATAACTTTAATGACAATTTTATAATATTTAAAAGTTTATTATCCAAAAGTACAAAATAATCTTAGTTTAGGTAGTATTGAATACTTTACCCCTTTTTCTGTTGGGTACTTTACTCTTCATTTCTTGATTTACAAGGAAAGAATATTCAGATTAAGTGAGAAAAAAACCAAAAAATTGGGTCCCGAGGTTGGGGACACATAATAATATCCAATCTTAGCCGTCGTGTATGGAACGCGCTTTCCTGTAGCGAGTGCGGGAAAGAAAGTTATTCTCTCCCGAAAACCAGAGCAAATCACAAACCCCAATAAAAACCCGACAAGGTAAAAAATGGGAGAAAGCATGAGCAAAGGCCAGAGAGGAAAAAGGGTTCGCTTAACAGCCAATGTTTTGTTTTGTTTTGTTTTGTTTTGTTTTGTTCTGCTACTGGCTTTAGGGTTTAAATCAGGGTTCTTTCTCCTACTCAGTCGTCCATCATCATCTGCCAATGGATAGATACCAGAAAGTAGAGAAGCCAAAGCCTGAATCACCCATTAACGAGAATGAGATCCGAATCACTTCTCAAGGCGCTATTCGAAACTACATCAACTACGCTATTGCTCTTCTTCAGGTCCCATCCCTCTTCTCCTTCATATCCTTTTATCAGTTACACTCATTAATGTTTCCATTTTTGTTTACTGGCCATTTCGTGCTCGTGGGTTTCTCTCCTTGTTTTGGCTAGCTTTCTTCCATGGGTTTATTTGCCTCGGTAGCTGTTTTTTGGGTTTCCTTTTTCTTAACTGAGATTTTGGTTTAGAGATTTGAAATATGTAAGTTCGTTCCAGGGTTTACGGATTTTTAGTGTTAGCTACTTTGATAGTTTTGAGGGGTTTGTTTTAGAAAAATGTTTGCATTAGGTTTCTTTGTTCACCAGAGTTTGTTTTCGTTTCCCGTTGGGTCCTTTCTTGTTATTATGGTAATATCTGCTCTATTTTTGTGCTGATTTTAGTCATATAAAATTGGTTTTTTTTTAAATTAAACCATGCTTTATTTGTGTTAATGCATAGATTGTTTCTATATTCTGTCAGTTCATATGCTATTTGATGAGTTGGTATTATTTGCCATATGCTTAGCTAATTATGGAAGCAATCAAATTCGAACATGCAATTTTTCTTTTATGCGATTCTTTTACCGGAAGCTGGTTTCTCTTCCTTTTGCTTATTATATACTCATGTTGATTGACATGAATTAAATAGTTTATTTCAGCCTCTTCTGGTAATAGTGCACCTTTTTTTGGTTTCGTTTTTTTTTTCGCAATGACATGGAAACCATTAGTTTTTTTGTATTTAAGTGTTTTCATGATGTTTTTTAGGACAAGCATGTGAAGGAAATTGTCTTGAAAGCAATGGGGCAGGCGATCAGTAAGACAGTAGCCATTGCGGAGATTTTAAAGGCTTGTGACTTTTTGTCGTTATGATCATCCTTGCATTGTGTTTTCCACTTTTCATGATTAATGAATCTTGTGTCGTAAAGCAGAAAAGGGTTCCTCGTTTGCATCAAGATACTGCGATTAACTCAGTGAGCATAACTGATATTTGGGAACCTATTGAAGAGGGCCTTGTTCCGTAAATATCTGACTTCCCTACCCTCGTTTATAACCTGTTGAGTTTATACTTATACGTATGAGTATTTAATATCCTGTTTTGTGCAGTGTGGAGATGACTCGTCAAGTCTCAATGATATCTATTACCTTGTCAACCAAAGAGCTAAACAAAAACTCTGTTGGGTACGCCAATTTGTCTTGTATTTTATTTGGTTTTCTTTTTCAAAAACGGGGAAGTAAATTGATGCAATATTAGTCGGTAGCCAGTTATTTCTTTTTTCAGGGAAATGAAACTTTGAAAGCTTAGATTTTTAATATTATGCTTAGCTGGAGTCTGATATGCAATAGATGCCAGTTCTTAAATGTTTTAACTTCTGATGATACATAAATTATTATTATGTTTCTCAGTTGAATGAAATAATTGTTTGCTGATATGACTTGAATCATGTCACTCCAGGTATCAAGCTCCACATTATGCTGAACAACCCAAGCCACAATATCATTATCAGCAGCAGCAACCACCCAAACAAGCTCGTGTCCCATATAATGCTGTCAATGAAGGTGTTTTCAGGAACTAGTAGTTCTGCAACTGTCTTAAGAACTCTGTTCTTTTAACCTCAAACTCATTTCCCGTGTTTCGTATTTAGATTCGTATGGCCAAGGAAGGGGTCGTGGTAGAGGCAGAGGGAGAGGGCAGAGTTGGGGCAGGGGTGGATACTCAAACTATGGAAATTATCAAGGTATAGTATATGGATTTTGAATAAACTTATTGTAATTATTGACATTTTTCTTTGCCCTTGTACATTTATCAAGTAGAAGTTTGCATATTAGTTGGACCATGCTTCATACTTCACTTATTTATTATAGATAATGGTGGATACTCTAACTGGGGCAGAGGTGGTGGGCGAGAAAGAGGTTGGGGTTATCGTGGTAAGTATACTTTATTCACGGCTTATTGAAGGAGTGGTATATTTTTTCACTTTGAGAAGTTTCATGTTTGTGCATCTATGCAAGTAACCATTGTTAAAATCTTCATATATGCTAAACAAGAAACAGTTCATAGATGAATGCCCTTTGTCTTGAAATTGCAAACATCTGTCTTGAGTTTTCTTGCTCATCAGTTCTCATCAACCATCCCATTGCTAATTTTGACAATACAAGTGATGTAGAACATAGTTTTCAGAGTAAGATCATACAAACAATTGTCCAGTTTAAAATGCCAGTTGTGATGTAGTAGAGTTCAAAGGAAATACACAATGATCATGGCGATGATGTTTTAATATGGACAGACAACTTTTGCTTGTTATGAGCATGTCAGTTACATCTATCAAAGTAGCCCAATTTGGAGAATAGAATCTATTAAAATGAATCTCAAATTGTTGACACTATTATTTATCAATATTTGTTTGGCTGTTTTATTTCGACAGGTGCTGGTTATGAAAGAGGTAGAGGTGGTGGTGGTAGAGGCTATAGCCGTGGCCGTGGAAGGATGGGTGGTGGTCGCTCAAGGGGTGGTGACTACTAAAGCATAATCAAAGGACGCATAAAGCTCGTGATATTTTCTCCTCTTTTTAGCTTAGATGCTTGGCTTGGTCAGTGGGATGCTTGGCTTGGTCAGTGGGAAATTATGGAAGTAGGTGTGTTTATAAACGCGTGAGATTGTGGGTTGAAATCTCCAGCATTATTAAGCAGTGGTTTTGTGTTTCTGTCTGGCATTATCTAAGGTGGTTGAGGGTAATGTCTTTTTATTTCGCATTTAGCCAAGGCCAAGAGGATGGGTTTATGATTTGTGCTGTATTTGAAGTTTATATGTCAATATTTGATTTCTTTATTCCTTTGAATTCTATCTTGTCTCTTTGCCCAGGCAATGCAATCAATGAAAGGTTACCATGGAAGCTGTGGTTAAAATGTATTCACTTATGCCTTGAATACAATAAAGCCAACAAAACAAATGGGGTAAAATATACAAATTACACAACACTATTTTTAAGTTCGTTTTCATTGAGGCCGCCTGAGGTTAGATATTGTTTTTAACGTTGCATTTTTAAATGATTGGACTATAATGATTGTTAAATTTGATCGTTGAGTAAAATGTGTTACCCTCGTATATTTTTTTAAAGTTTTTATTTAAAAAAGAATATAAGAATATTATTAATTTTAAAAAACTCACCAATTTTATTAAAATTACAAAAGGACCTCAAATGCTCAAACCCTAATCCTTCCTAATACTTGTTGGACCACCACTGTCGGTCATTTCCTTGCCGTCGCTCCAATGCCACCTACCTTCATTCCTTCAGGCGAAAACCATTGTAGCCCAAATACCCAATTCTTTGTCATTGAATCCAATTTAAATCCTTATACTTTTCAAACGTTTATTTTATATTGATTTTCTCATTTATTTCGAAGTAATCATCAACACCTATTCTGGAAATAGTGGAGAAAGTGTCAAACAACGGCTTGGTCGCAATGCTTTATGTCGAACATCGATGAAAATTTCAAAATCAAATTGCCACCAACACCCATCATCAGTCATGTGATTTGCAGCCAATTAAATCGTCCGGTGATTTGCAAAATTGCAGGTGACTGCACAGGTAAGGGGGACAGGGAGAGAAGAAGTAAATTTTTTTTATTTTTATTTTTTAAAAAATTAAAATTTTAATAAATATATATAAATATGACGAGTCAGTTAATGATCGAATTTAACGGTCGTTATAGTATAAGAACCTAGTAGAGAAAACATTAGACACCTATTTTGAACGAAAAAATTTTAAACACCTAAAGTCAATTTTAAGTATAATTTAAATACTTATTTTTATATTAATCCTTATTTAAATAAAAGATATCATTGATATTAGTATCGTACCAATAGCATTAGTATTAAAGCGAAATTCAATGTTTTTATTTAAATAAAAAGTATTGTATCGATATCAGTCATATAATATTATTAGTTAATGAATAAGTATTGATACCCATAAAATAATATCGAAACTAATCATCTAAGATGTTTAAATTATACAAGTAGTCACAGAATTTTGTATCATTTATGATTTGATCATCAATGTAGCTGAAATTGTATGGGATTAATGATGATGAATTCAAATAATGTTTTACTTACATATCAGTCCTTAAAATCATAATTAGACAAGTAGTCACTGAATTTTGTATCATTTATGATTTGATCATCAATGTAGCTGAAATTGTATGGGATTAATGATGATGAATTCAAATAATGTTTTACTTACATATCAGTCCTTAAAATCATAATTAGACAAATTAATCATTAGATAAGAAAATTAAAGTTAATAATTTATTGTTACAGTTCCAATCAGTAACATTACTGATCTAGTTTAAGACTAAACCAAGTTAATGGTGTTACATTATTTATCGATCTCATCTAAAAATGATGAATTTTTAAAGGATAAATTACAGAAATGGTCACTTTCGTTTGAGTTTTATAAAAAACATAATATTTGGTCACTTTTATTTCATTTAAATTAAAATGTGATCATTGAAGGTTAACAACCGTTAAACCTTTAACGATTTGTAGATGTGTCACGGTAATATATAAAATTAAAAGTATATCATTTCCACGTATATAATATGTGTATCAAGTTTTGTCCACTTTTCTTTCATATCTGTACACTTTTGCTCACCAAATTTAAAAACTTAAGTTTTGGTTACCTACGCTATTGTTTTATTAAGTTTTGGTCACTTGGACATTGAATGTCATTAATTTGATGACTTGAACTTTTAGTAAAATGATTTAATTTTTATTTTAACCCCTAAACTTTAAACAAAATACTGATTATGAGTCTTTTTGTAAATTTAAATTAGTTTAGGAATAATATTTCAATTGACCTATTTTTTAATATTTTTTCTTCCCAAGCCCCAATATTTCACATCTTCTCCCGTTTCTACTTCAGACATCTCTCCTCCATTGGAATAGCCTTATTGTTTCTAATTATTAGTTGTAATTATTTAAAGTCAAATTAGGTGAGTTCTCAGTAGTAAGAAAAGGTATAAAATGAAGTAACAAAGATCATGAAAAATATAGATAATTCGCCTTTAAAATTTTGAAAAGATTCACCACCACGGTGATGTCATCACCTTGAATCGAGAAAATTAGAGTTTCTTCAATGGCGGCGTTATTGACGACACAATACTAGGTTTCCATCTTCGACGAGTTGTTGACCAACAAAATCCTCGTGATGTGAAAGATCACCGAGAACGTTTCGTCGTATTCGAACGTGATTGATATCCATAGCGTTTACGAAGATCAAACTGATGTTAACTAACTACCAGGTTTCTATCTCAGAGGCCAGCACGGTAGCGGTGGTACGACAGATCGCACAAGCCGTAGGGGTTAACAATGATTCATAAGGTAAACATTGTTCTAGATATCTAGAATTAGAAAATTGCTTGTTCTTGAGCAAAAATAAAGATTTGACGTTGAAGATCGTTGATTTTGGATTGAGTTTAGTGGGTCAATTCACGAATCCAATTATTAGGTTGTTTGGATCTATTGATTATATTTCACTGGAGGCGCTGTAATACCTTAAACCCGATTGGGCCTAAAGTATTACATTGGGTTGTCGAAGCAACCACTAAAATTTAAAATCTATTCATTTTCATTTCAGAGAACGATAAGTTTATCAAAATAGACATCCTAAAATAGTTATAAAATATTTACAAGCTGGAGCTGCGCGACATATAATTTAAATCAAAATAATATAATCTTAGAGTTTACAAATTGAATACAAGAGTAAGGTCCTATAAATACACATGCCCACTAAAAGTAACCGTACAGTACTCTGTGAGGAATGTTAAAAATCCTATTGCGACGGTGCTTCTCAAATGACTCAAAATACTAACATACAAACGAAAATATCCAAACGCTAAGCTTACGAAGCCTACTAGTATAATTGCTAATCTAGAGCAATATATGTATCTCATGAACATAAGCATGCTAAAAGACATGGTAATAAGCAGTAGGTACACGCATGATCATAAAAAAAACATTACCCAGTTGTTGTTCTTCTATCATATTAACATATAAATAGTTTCATGCTTCCCTAGTTCACAATTAAGGCCTAGCCATGAGCATACATTGTATCTCTAACCTCATTATAATGTGTAAACACACAACACCACACAACACAGTGATAGTACTTGACATCACACAGTAGTTAGGTATTAGTCATATAACAAGTAAACATCATGATATAGTTCGGGGTCATATCAACATCACAGAACTCATACCCCTCTACCTTATGAAATATGTACTCCGATTAAGATCTGAGTCACGAAGCATCAACATCTTACATCTAAATGACCCTTATTGCTAAGTATCTAGGGTGAGATATGAGTCACAAAACATCAATATCTAATACCTGGATAATCTACTCTGTTAGAGTACTCATGATGTGTTTAGGTCACGAGGCATCAGAGCGACATCCAACTAGATTTAAATTGATCTTGCACTGACTTTGTTATATCCAAATATTTCTTAATCAATTGGATGATCGTCATACACACATAAGTAACTCGAGTGTCCTCATCGTTTACCGAGCGTTTAATAAATACATAAATCTTATAGAATCTTACCTTATAAGGTTCTTATGATTAAAATACATATGACATTATCTCATCATCTTTACTATCAAGCTCTTATATAAAGCTAATCGTCTCATCACACATCAATCAATGTCATACAAGGGTAATCAAGGTAGCTCAGCTACACATTATTGTCACTTATCACAATCGGGTGGCCATCCTTTCATTTGTCACTATCTCATCGTTCTCCCATATAAAACATTATGCAATGATTTATTAGTATTTTACATCTATTAGTTCATTATACCACTATATCTTGGTCAATTAACACCCAATGGCGTTTTGATCATTTTCACCTCTAAAGGTGTCTTTAGCTTTTTATGCTTTCAAGACAATTGTTTTTATTGTTATATGCTTGGTATATTATTTTTAGCTCGATACTCGACTTGAGGTTAATTATTCATTAATGAATTCCTAGTAGCTCTCAACACACTATTCCTCAATTCATACTTGAAACTGGATGTACGACTTTCAAGACATCACTTTATCGATATTTGTATAGTACAAAATTTCTCTATCACACTATTCCTCGTTTCCAAGAATATACTTCACAATAATCCTTCGTTCGTGATTGTTTGATACGCACCCCTTTAAGGGTATTTTTAAAATTTCTTACCCACTAAGAGTATTTTGATATGTCACCTAGGGGCCTTTTGGGTCATTTCATAATTTAGAAACCTTTTTTAGCTTAGTTGTACACTTTACAACGATCTGTAGATATTCAAGTGCAACGGGCGATGTTTTGAATCTTTTAGTATTGGACAATATTGATACTCCACTCAGCAGTATATTTAATACAATAGTATTGATACTAATACTGATATTGATACTACAAGAACAATATCGATACTGGTATCGATACTACAAGAATAATATTGATATTATTATCGAAACTACAAGAAAAATATTGATAATGGTATCGATACTACAAGCATAATATTGATACTAGTATCGACACTACAATAACAATATCATACTACAACAATAATATCAATACTACAACCTAGAAAACCCTGAATAAGGCTCGAGAATCACCTAAAAACCTTCATAAACTCTCTAATTTAACCCTAAATCAACAAATAAAGCTTAAGAGAGTTGCACGAACCAAGAGCAATAACGTCGTTGTTGTTCTTAGAGGTCACGAGTTTGAGCACCATTGACTGCAATAGGATGATTGAGTGTTCATTGTCAAATGGTTGAGAGTATTTATAATATATACTACTTTGTA